TATTTTACAGACTTTCACAAAGTGACTAACTCGTCTTCATACAAAAGTACTCTAAGTCAGATTTTGGAAACAATATTACACTCTCCCAATAGATTGGTAATAACCTCTATCTATCAGGATCATTGCCAACAGTTTGTCACTATTGATTGCTCGAAAATCAATTAATTGCTAAATTAAAAAAGGAAAGGGGACAATTCAAGGTTCAGCAAAAAAAATTCAAAAATAAAAACAATCTCTTCTCAAAAAGGATCTGCCTGATTGGGATAGTCTTCTTGCTTTACTTGAATCTCAAAAGAAATCTTCTTTTTCATTACTTGTGATATCAAATGAGTCAATCCAACTGATCTTTCATTTAAGTGAGCATCAGATTGGAATATCTCAAGTAAAACATTTAGACCTCAAATTTTTTTCATTAAAGCTTTGTCACCAATTGAGGAATTTAGGTAAAAGATGAGAGTTTGCAATCCACATTACTCATTACTTGATCTTTTAATATCATAGAAGTTTTTATTAAAGGACTTGAGCTTTTGGAGACAAATGTTTTTGAAACCTTTTTTTCAATCACTAATGATGTCATCAAAATACATAAATGTAACCAATAGAAGCTTGTTTATATTCCAAAAATTAATGTATTTTATATAAGTCAATTATCTTTGGTGAGGATTTGTGCTATCCAAAATTTAGAATCAAACTGAGGTAGATAAAATTCTCTAGAAAACCATGATAGCAATAGCTTTAAGAGATTCACAAGTGACTGGAAAGGGAAAAATAAGCTTTTTTGTCATTAAAAACCTCTATATATCGTACACTTCGATTAATTCCTTTAGAAAATAGATAAAGTAAATATAGGCACACTCATTTTTCAGCACTAATGTTAATTCCATAAATATATTACCCTCCACATGTTCATATCTAATCCCATAACAAGTTGCTTCTTGTATAATCCATTATTGTAGTCGTCGATAGTAGGAGGCTCACACAATGCTATATTTCGACAAACAAATTATCTTAATGACATAAACGAATAAATTTCTGTAAACAAAAATGAGGAAATATGAATACATACATAGCATGGGTTGACCTTTTTCTTCATCGATGAATACCTTCCCATCTCGTACCAAGAATGATAAGTAAAAAATATTTTCTACAGTTTGCCCGAATGACTCTGGGTTGATGATAAATTTAAAAAAGTTTATGGGCTGTTTTTCATTAAGAATATCCCAAATCATTTTAACGTTTCTTGTCGTTTCATTTTCCTGCCTTTCAATGTCTTTTTCACGTAACTATAAATAATAATAATAAATTAATTAATTTGAAGACAAATTCGCTCGGAAAAAATTGGGAATGGATGGTATTACCTGCTTTGGCACGATCATTTCATTTTTATCTTTTACCAAAGTCTGTCGAACCCCTGTTTTGCGACCTTTCTGTTCAACAGAAAGTGGGCCAAGCCTTTAAAAGATCATTTAATGTTAATTCAAATTATACATCTACAAAATTCTTAATAACAATAAATAATTACACACATAAAGTCCAATGTAGGAACACGCAGAGTACAGTGCGAAGCAATTTCTCCGACTGTCTTCCAATTAAGACTTGGCCTTTCGTCTTCATTGTCGAGTTGTCTGCCACCCATCAAAGTAATTAACTTTGATATATAATCGTCAGCATCAAATACATTATTATCCAGTTTCATAAGACGTGCCTTTTGTACGCCTAAATCACTGGTTTTCACGAGAAGACGTGAATCAAGTGCCGCTTCGTAGGTATGTTTTACTAGTTATCATATTAATAAAATGAAATTAATATTGAGTTATCAACAATAAACATATTATCTTAGCTTACCTTTTTGAACCAACTCGTTTGCCTTTTCTATATTCTTCACAAGACCATTTGATTCCGGTCTAAGGTAATCTTGCCTTTTCTCTGTGACACAAGTGAAATTAAATTATGATTATCTTAACACTATTACTTCTACTAATTGGAAGCTTTCTACATTACATTTTACTTGGTTATTTAATGTTCAATAAAGAACTTGATTCTTTATTAAAAATAATCCTCTCTGCAACACATCAACAATTACAAGATAGAAAATACGACGTAGGATATCACAAAAAACAAATACCTTCTGTTTCAATTATTAGAGTTCTGTATTCTCTACGTAACCATCGTTTTTCATCTTTATCTTGGTCGGAGTCATAAGTTTTTGCGCCTGAATAACCCGATGTATCCCCCTCCTCTATTTGGTCATGTTGGTTTAAATCCATCATGTTTTCCTTATCAGAATCATTCAGTGTATTACGTGTTCCACTGGGCATTTTTTGTTGCTCTAAAGACCACGAAACGAACGAAAAAAATAAACTAATTTCAAAATTACGCGTCAAGCACCCTAACTTACCAGAAGTGAACGAGTTAATGATGGAAACCTCTTATTTATACTGAATAAGAAGTCTAAATAAACATTTAAAATTATTCTTCACCTTGAATTTTATCGAATTCGCGTTCGCTCTTGTGAGAATGAAATCGAAGGGTTGATATAGAAGACCAGAAAGTATGGAAAGAATGGAGACATAAGTCCGGAAATACACATCACAAGCTACCGTTACACGGTTTTCTGAGATCTAGCCAATTGTCATATCCGAATAATTATGAATATGAGATACTTACAATAGTACCTGGAATGTCACATGACGACTAACTTATCTTTGTACAGTTGTCTCAAAAAGAAAGAAATTTTTAGATTACTTATTATTCTTGAAAAATTCTTTTATTATTATATATTGTTTTTAATTTTTTTTTTTTAACCCTCTGTCAGGCTAGTTATATGTGCTTTTTAAACAATTGTAAGCTGTACATATAGTATGAATTGCTAAAGCCAAAACTTTAACTAGCTCACTCGTTTCAGTAATTACTCTAAGTGCAACTTTGGAAGTGATATTTCGCTCCATTAAAAGTTCAGGTGAAGACCCTTCCAACTTTTAATATCATTGCCTGCAGGTCACTACTGTAGATCACTCTTTGCAGTTCTGATAGAACTCAAAACCCAACCATTTTATTCCAAATCTAACTCCTTTTAATAAGATATCTGTGTGACCTTGATCTTCTAATCATCCTTCTTCTATTAATGAAGCACCTCTTCTTTTTGATGATGCAGTTTTAGGTTTTAGACCAGGAAGGCTTGGAGATCTTTTCATTTTATCATTTCTTTAGATCCCCTGTGTTCTTTTCCATTCTATGATTTTTTCGCATCTTGCATTCCAAACCTTCTTACAGAATTAATTGCATACTGTACTCTGCATCTTCTTTATCCATTTTCTTGCTTCTTTTCCAATTCTTTTGCCATCGCATCTAAGATCCGCCATCTCGAGAACAAGGTTGCTTCTTATCAATTCTGCAAAGAAGCTTAACATATCTTGGCTAGTTATCGAAGCTTGTTTCACCAGCCTGGATATCCACTTGTCTATTTCTTTCAATTCTTCTCTATTCTCTATTATTAGTTTCACATTCTTTTCAGCCGCTTCCTTTTTTCTTTCTTGTAAGAGTTTTTCTAGATATGAAATATCTAATTGTACCCTGTTGTACTCTTTTTGTTGGTTTTTGCCCTTTTTTGAAGTTTCTATCAGGGATAAACTGGGCTCATTTTCTCTCTTATTATCTTAAACAACTTTGCAATTCAACATATAACACTCCTGACTACCCTCAAGAAATAGAAACCAAAAAGAAACTTAGACAGAAAAGTCTTTCAAGATCCTAAAACCAAGAAGGATACTGAGGTCTAGCATGTATGTCTGATAGATGTGGATCAAAAAGTCAATAAGAATATTATAAAAACACATCTAAAAAGATACAGAGAAGTCCAAAATGTTCATATCTATGAGGTAAACACAAAATCATGGGCAAAGGCTTATATCAAATGGCACAAATATCTCAGCTTAAATCCTGAAGCAATTTGAATAACTCCAATCAGTACAAAAATGTCAAAAGCTATAATCTCCAAGTTTGAGCTTAGCGAAAATGAAATCAATCAGATATTAATTGAGAGAAATGACAATTCAGCAAGACTCTTGGGTACTAATAAAACTTATACTAGCCTGATAGCCAGAGCATTGAATAGTACACAGGCCAAGGCATGCTATACATCCAAAGACCCCTTTACACTCAAGAAGCATAACTTTACAGTAGTCTGCTTTAAAACAAAGGAAAAAAGAGATAAAGCATGTAAACAACATATTCTCCTATAGGGACATCACCTCTCTTGAAATATCAAATATACTTCCAAAATGGAAAGACAAAATCTTAAAAATGAAGATAGAAACACAACACTTAGGCCAAGAAGAATAGAAGTAGACTATAAATCAACATTGGATACACAATCAGATAGTGAATCAACAGATTCTATTTCCACTTCACCAAACTATCATAATTTTAGAACTCAAGATAAACCAGATATAAAAGTAACAATATAATAGAATAAGGAAAGAACAAAAAAAGAGAACACTCTGCAACAGGAAGTAATAGAGAACCAATTAGAAATTAGCAAAGCAATAGACATAATTTTTTTGAAAATAAGAAGAGACCTGAAATAGAAAGCTCTCAAGATCCCTTCAAAAGTATTTTAGCCAATCTTGAAAGACTACATGCC